TTCCTAAAGAAACAGTAAATTAATGTTATTGGACCACTCCAATATTTTTTTCCTTTTTTTTTCTTTTCTGTTATACCTTTTACTCTAAGTCCTTTACACGTGGTGTTTATTTTCTACCCGGTATTGGGAAATGTTATATCCCCTTACGTGACATAATGTAGACTTGCTTACTCATCCTCACCGAATCCTTCCACGTTTATTTATTTATTTATTTATTTTTTTCTTATCTCTCTTCCTCTCCTTCAGGGCGGAATCCCTTGGATATAACGCCACTGTTCAACCGCTACCTTCTCCTTTACACCGACCGGCTTCCTTCTTCAAAGAACCCAATCGCTTCTTAACCCAACGATTGATCCAGTTTCGTCCATTGCTTTTGATTCATCCTTCCAGATCCTCACTATTCCACCAAGTTCTTTTCACCACGTCTTTTTCTTCATCCATCATCTTCACTGCCTCACAGTCCAATACTTCCCCTTCGCTTTCCTTCGAAAGTCTCAGCAACAATTTCTCAATGGTTCGCATTCATTGGCTTGGCGGCTAAAGGGGTGAATCATCGACTCTTCTGTCTACAAGCCGACGTGTTCTTCTCTTGATCCACCGATTTCTTGCTCCTAAGGTGGTGTCACAAACTCAGTTCAATTGTATTCCTTTTCTGATCAATCTCTACATCTTTCTAGAAATCGATTTATCAAAGTGGCATGTCGTCTCCGTTGGGCTACCCAACACCGTCCTCCTCCCGTTCTGCCCCTCCGCCAACAACACCCACTTCCACCGCCGCTCTCCGTCAGCATCCCCCTTGGTAAGTTTCTCTTTTTATTGTCCCCAGTACTTTTATGTGTTGTTATCCTGTCCTTTCACTGATTCCTGTGTGTTGTTTCTTCTTTGTCTGTTTTCCTAGAAAAAGCTCTTAATACCACCGCCTTATACATCGTCGCTATGGTGCACCTCGGTTATTACAGACTCATCTCAAGTTTTGTTTCTATTAAATGTTTGATGAGAAGCAAGTGGTGGTGCAAGAACAATTTTAATATTAGTGAAATTTGTGTAGCCTTATGGGGAAGAAGTGTATACTTAAGCGCTTCAGTTTCAGAGTAAGATTTCAATCCTAATTTTTGGTTTCCAACCTTGCACGCCAAGTGTTTGTGATATTTCCTCAATGAACACCCCAAACTTTTTTTGATCGGTATCATGTTGATTTTATGAAGGTGATCTTACCGCTGACCAATGACCCCTTTTGAGGGATAACATACAATGTTTCAAACCATATGCACCTTACCAACTGTTTATCATCAGGTTAGTACTGCTAATTCAAACGAATCAACTTCCAATGGCCTTTCCATTATCATCCAATTCTCTTGCATAATCAGTGTCTGTAAAATTTTTCTTTTATTTTACAATCTCCCAAGTTCAAAATTACATTTTAAGTACAACTTTTCAACAATCTGTTCTTGGTCCTACTTCTGGTCAAAGATTCTTTCTACTTGGTTGCTCTGTTTTCTTTTTACATTTTTTTGATAGTTTAAGTTCTTCCATTTTAGGTAAACTGATCATTACCATATGATTGTTTGATAATGTCAATTAGTTGATTATCACATTCAAAACTACTATACATCATAAAAGTTTGATCAGATTGTGTGTATTATTCTTGACAAAAAGTTTGATATTCAACTTAAAGATGCCTATTTTTGTTTACCATCAACAAAATATGCAGTTTCTTAGTAATGCCTCTATTTGTTCCGCTTCATGAGTTAACAAACAAATTAAAAGGCTTATCGGACGATTACCCTGACCAATATTGTTTACGTTCAATCATAATATTCCTTAATTATAATCAATTTGAAAGGATGAAAAATATTTGGTTAGCGATGTTGTTACCTGAGAAAGAGTTTCAACAGAGAAAGTGTATATGAAACATAGAGAAGACAAATGTTAACAACTCCCAGTTTTGATGATCTTTGACAGATAAACCAATATGGTTTATCTGGTCATGGTTACTACACAGTTATAATATAGGTAAACTCCACATTTTAGCATTAAATTAAAACTATAACTCAGACATTTGTGATTTTTTTCTTTCTTCTACTACAACATTGTTCCTGCAATGGCAGAAAATGGAACTGGTGCTGATTGAAGATATAAAAATCAAACTTTATGTACGTATATGGTCATTGAGTTTTGTTTCTCTCTCTTTTGAGATTATGTTTAATTACATTTTTATGGTGGTTTGAGGTATTTTGGATTTTAATTGATATGGTTTTGGTGTTGTTTTGGTTTTGATTTGTAGAGGAGTTGGAAATATG